AAAAAAAAAAAAAAAAAAAAAAAAAAAACCCTCATGTGTACCTGAGTGGAGATCACAGAGACCTGTGCAGAGACGGCACACTTGTAATAAGGAACATTTTTACTAAATGAGTATGTAAAGTAGAAATGAATATATTTAAGACTCATTGTTTATTTAAAGAGAGAGAGAAAAAAAAAAAAGAAGCTAGATATGCTGGTTAATCTTTCATTGGCTTACTTGTGGGTCTGTGATCGGTGTTGTCAGGGAGCTGTACTCCCATGCTCTGTAAAAGGTTGGAAGCAGGTCCTGGCAGTCCAGCTTGGGAGCTGTAGGATTCTAATATATTTGAAACCAGGTTCAGGTCTACATCCACTGGCGTCATTACAGAGTCTCCTGCACCATAGTCTTCCTCTTCTGAATTGTTATTGGTAGTCTGGGATGGTGGTTTTTTATTCTGGAGGGAAAAGAAAATCATGAAATAATATCCCCTTAGGTGGATGTTAGTTACGATAAAAAGTTATAATTAAGCAATAATACACATGACAAATTAAAAGTGAAATTTCTTGTCCTTTGTGATATAAAGTAAAAATAAAGTCTAATAAACTGATTTAGCACATATATTAAAACTTGGTCCTAAAGATTATGACACAGCTGAGGGTGTGACTCAGGTGGTAAGTGCCTGCATAGCAAGTGCAAGGCCCCACATTTTTGAACCTCAGTACCACCAAAAATCAAACAAACAAAAAAAACTCATAAAAGATTATGACACTCTTCTTTCTCAGAAAAATTTCTACAAATTGAGCCAGTTTGTCCCTATTTTGAAAGAGTTTGTCTCCAGAGGGGATAACTAGAATTAAGGAGGTACATTCATGGCTTGCCTGAGAGTTTTCAAATAAAACAAATTTAAAAAAAAAGAATCTAACTTTTTAAAATGGAAATAGTTAATTTTCTTTTCCTTCTCAACATCAAAGCTTAAAGTTAAAAAAAAAAGCTTTATGGGATCCAGCCACAAAATCTATGAATTATTACTTGGATCTCTGATTTTATAGGTTGGGGAAAAGATAAGAAAGACTGCAGCTTGACTTATATAGGCCTTTACATCTTTGTAACTCAAAATGTGGTCCATGGACCAGCAGCATCTGCATCCTTCAGGGCTTGCTGGAAACATAATTTCAGGTCTCATCCAGGACCTGCTTAATCTAAGCCTATTATAACAAGATTCTCAGGTAGCTTATATTCACAATGAAATTTAAGAAATTCTGCTTTAGATAAATCTAATATATGTTTTCTATTAGGTTTTGGCACTACTGAAATCTATTACAGTATTAAATGTGGTTTAAAAGAGCAAAGCAAGAGAAAGTAACATTAGCTAGGAGCCTGCTATGGGCTATACTGCTGTCTCTTTTGGTTCCATGTTAATTCTGTGACATGAGGATTACTGGTTAATGGACACATTCACAATGGATGGCGGAGTTAGATTTGACACTCTGATTCATGAAACTCTATGCTCTTCCATAATGTCTCTCTGTCTAGGAATAGAAGGTGCTGGCATACAAATGAAGATGAAATTATGAATGGAAGATGACATCTACATTTGGCTCTACATTAGAGAAACATATAAAAACAAACTTATGACTTTAGGCCGGAGAAACCACTTTAAACTGAACTATTGCTTTGAGGGGGTCTTTTGAACCATCATTCGTGCAGCCCAATTTCATACCACCTACATCTGTACTAAACATGGACAGACATTATTTATATTTATAAGTTGTCTAAATTAGAATGTGTAGTAGTAATAGTTTACTTTGCCTGGCTATAATTACATATGGAATGATGTGCGTAGGTCATAGGAAGATTTAAGTAACATAACGTATTTAGGAAACAAGTTTATAATGTTTTTTGTTTTACGCATACTAAACACTACCACTGAGCCACACTCCAGCTTCCTGCCCTCATTTTTTTGAGATGATCTCGCTTTGTTATCTAGACTGGCCTCAAATTTCTGAGCTCAAGTGATGCTCCTGCCTCAGTCTCCTGAGTACCTGGGAATTACAGGTATGTACCATAGCACATAGTCCCTATAATCTTTCATCCTACCAAAGTTAGGAAAAAGCTAGCATTCTTGGGCTTGTGATATAGTTCAGTGATAGAATATGTGTTTGCATGTGCAAGGTTCTGGGTTCAATTTCCAGTACCAAAAAATAAATAAAAAGTAAATAAATATAATTAGTGTTCTTATTTATTGCAAATCAAAATCAAATGAAAAAACTAAGATAAAATGTGATTTTAGCTATCCTACATAACAGACTTAGAAAGGGAGAGAAGTTATAAAAACACACTTACCACTTGCTTCTGAGTGCTGAAACTTTTGCCAATGGTGGTATGTGCCAGTTCCTGGTCCATCTGGGCCATATATGACTTGAGATTGCCAAGAGCTCCTTTCAGAGAAGCCTCTTCACTGTTGTCCTGCGTTCCAAGGTCTAAGTCATCATCACTGTCTAAATATTCAAAGTCTTCCTCACCCAGATCATCAGAGTCCGACTCTTGTGGCTTTGGCCCTATACAGATCCCAACACAGAAAGAGCCATTTGGTAAAATCTTTTGTGTGATTATACTTCTCAAAAGAATTAGAATGTTACAAACAGATAAGAATCAATATAGATGTCAAACCACTTCACAAAAATACCTTCCAGAAATGGTAATGAAAGCAGCTATTTGCAGGAAATTTCACAGGTTGAGTCAAGAAATTCTACTTTATTTTATTCATTAATTTTGCAGGGGGCAGTACTGGAGTTTGAATTCAGAGCCTTTACACTTGAGCCACTCTGACAGCCTACTTTTATTTTGAATTCAATTAATTAAAATTTTTTTCTTAAAAAATTAAAAACCTAGTCAGGCATGGTGGCCCGTACCTGTAATCTCAGCACCTGGGAGAGGAGGATTGAGAGTTTGAGCCTACACAGAAAGCCCCTGTCTCAAAAAGCTTGAAATAGTAATAATTATAAAGGAAGAAAAAGAGAACAAAAATTAAAACTGGGCCAGATGTGTAGCTTAGCAGTAGGGCACTTGCCTAGCATATGTAAGCTCCTGGGGTTCGATCCCAAGCATCACATAAAATATACATAAAAAAATTTTTAAAACTAAATAAATGACTACATCTTGATGTTGCCATTTAAGCCATACAGAAGTACTGTCTCATAGCTCACTCTCTTCTCTGAGACATCTTTTAACAATTTGGTCAATATCAGGCCTTAACCTATGAGGTTCTGTATATATATACATATATAAAATAAAACATAGAGGGGTTCTTTCTTTTTCTTTTTGGCAGTACTGGTTTTTGTTTTTGTTTTTGTTTTTTGCAGTACTGGGGCTTGAACTCAGGGCCTTCACCTTGAGCAACTCCACCAGCCCTATTTTTGTAAAGGTTTTTTTGAGATAGGGTCTCTTGAACTATTTGCCCTAGCTGGCTTTGAACCACGATCCTCCTGATCTCTGCCTTCCAAGTAGCTAGGATTACAGGTATGAGCCACAATTGCCCAGCAAGTACTGGGGTTTGAACTAATGGCCTCATGCTGGCTAGGGAGGCATTACCACTTGAGCCACACCACTAGACTTTTTTGCTTTAGTTATTTTTTGGGGGGAGGGCCTCAAGTTTTTGCCTGGGGCCAATCTCAGACTTTTGATTTTCCTACCTATGCTGGTGTGAACCATCATGCCTGGTTTATTAAGATGGGGTCTCAGGTTGCCCAGGCAGGCCTCCAATGGAGATCCTCTTGATCTCTGCCTGATGAATAGCTGGGATTACAGGCATGGACCACTGATCCCAGTCTATAGTTGTGGTTTTTTTAACCTGGATGTTATCATACTATTTATATTGAACTATGGTTTGCTTTTCTACTTCTTAGAGGTCTTCCTCTGACAATATACAGACAGGAACTTTACTCTTTATTATGGCTGTGCATAACATGTATCATAATACAAATATATAATGATTTATTTAACCATTTCCATCTTTGGCATTTAGGATATTCTAATTTTTTGTTACTGCAATACTGCAATGACCACATTTGTCTTTTCTCATAGAGTACATCTTTGGAAGTGAAATTGCTATGTCAAAGGTCCTGAATATTCTAGAGTGGCAAAATGTTCTTTGAAAAATCAATTACACTTCCATCCTCAGAGCCTGACAAGTGTTTACTTTCTAACTCTTAAAAAAACAGATTATCAATTAAAAAAAAATCCAGTACGATGGGGAAAAAACTAAGTTCACATTTTATTATGTATTTTCTTGTTTACTAGGAAGAGTAAACTGTTTTCAAACATTTACTGACTATTTTTCTTCTTCCATGCATTGCCTATTTATGTCCTGTGTTGATTTTTTATTTGGCAATTTGTCTTTTTTGCAGTGGTGGGAATGAACCCAAGCCCTCATGAATGCTAGGTAAGGGCTCTACCACTTGAGCCATGCCCCGAGGCATTTGTCATTTCTTATTGATTTGTAAAATAGTAAGTTTGAAAGAGAAAAAGAACACCCAATATAGACTAGGAGCCAAGGTTAAAACCCTACACCTAGACACACAACATTCCTTCACTCCAATATTTAATAAGCAGCTACTGTGTCACCCACTGATTAGATAACCTCTGTAAAATCATTCAACAGGGCAGTAATTCATGCTTGAAAGCAGCTCAAA